ACGGCTCTGCCGGAGGCCTGCAGAACCGGCAGGAAGGTGTCAGTGACGGAGCCGCCAGGTGGCCAGTGGCTTTTAAGCCAGGTCACGCAATACACAGAGTTATTGCCCCTTGGAGCCAGCCGCTTGGCCGTGAGCTGATTTCAGCCAGGAGTGTTGTATCCCCGAGACAGGACAGAGCAAGTCTGGAAAACGGAAAGAAAACGGAAACTTGCCCCCAGAATCTCGGTGGCCACCGGAGAGCAGAAAAGGCCGGCGCCGGGGCAGAGACGGTCTCCGCCAGCTCCTGACGGGAGAGGCTGGGCTGGGCGAGCTGCCCACTTGCTGATTGGCAGGATGCTTCCCAACACTGACCAGCCGGGCAGTCCCAGGCCTCTAATGGCCACTGCCAAGCGCCAGCGTTACGAGGTTAGTCCTCCGAGAACAACCAACTTCCCCGCGCGCCTGCTGCTGCTCCGTGGCGCACAGCCGCACCCGGGGCCAGCGCAGACAGGCGGCCAGTTGTCTCAAGAGCAGAGTGAGAACACGCAGGCAGCAGGGGAGGGAAACTCACTGGATTGTTTCCAGAGTTCCTCTCCCCCGCTTCCCCCTTGCAGAAAAAGCACCAGGTCCCTCCCGCATATTTTCCTGGGGCAAACCAGGCTTATTTGCATATTCAAATCACGTTCACAGCTCCCCATTGTTCCATGCTGGACAGCTGGATTCTTCACAGCACCTACCTGGTTTCCAACCCCTCCCTCCTCAGCAGCCTTTACCGAGAGGAGCATCCCAGGCGGGGCATTGCTCCCAGCAGCTAGCGACCTCCAGGCCAGATCAATCAGCTGACCAAACACACTTCCTGCCAGGACCCCACCTGGCCCTTCGACCTGCCAGCCCTTGGCTCTTACAGCTCCCGCTCTCAAGTACCCCTCAGGGGAGCTGGGCCCAGGTCACTGCTCTCAGCAAGAGAAGAGGCAGGTCACAAGTTAAGTGACTTGCCCAAGGCCGCACGGAGTGAAGCGGCATGCTCAGTACTCCAGACCACGCTGCCTTTGAGTACAAGGGCCCTTCTGTTCTGTAACCGCCCCGCTCTCCTGCTCGGCCCCTTTTCGGCTCCCGTGGGGCTCAGTGACCTGCTGATGCTAAATGGCCCAGTCCTGTGGGGTCTTGATGCCCAGCACAAAAGCCTTCGGCCTCTCTTACCGCCGGCCATGGCGCGCCAGCCCATTCCTCCTCCGTGGCTCGTGCCCAGAGGAGAAGCTTCCCCGGCCCCAGGGTGGCTCGGCCCTCAGATGCCCCCGCCCTGCTCGCGCCTCACCTGGGCAGAGAAGTCGATCAGCTTCGGGAGAACCTGCTTGTTCCCTTCGTCGCTCTTCAGGAAATCCAGCAAGCTGCCTGCGAAGGGCAGGAGGGGGAGGGGTTCAGGGCGCGGCCAGTGGGTCCCGTCTGCCACCGAGCCCCCGGGGCAGGGCCTGCGAACTCAGCGCGCGCCCCCGGGAAACAGAGAGGCCCCACTGCAGAGCCAGGCTCCCTGCCATGAGTTCTCCCAGGGCTGGGCCCCCCTGGCTCTGAGCCCCAGATGCGCCCTGCCCCCTTTCCACATGCCCGTGGGTGGGGTTTGTCGGGGGGGGGGGCTCAACTCTTGGGGTGTCACACGTCCCTCGCCTCTTGCCTCGTTCTCTCCCTGTCACTTCCCATGTGCCATCCCCTCTTCCTGCCCACCACGGTTTATCACACACTCCCAGCCCTGACCCATATCCTGGCCAGCTGCCTCCTCGCTTACCCAGGGAGGGGGATGGCAAACAGCGCCCGCCTGGCACTGCCAAAAGGCAGGACCCGCCTGCCCCTGCGAGGGCCCAGACAGCCGGTGTCCTCGCACGGCCCTGGTGCGCTCTGGGCTTCTCCCGTGCCCTGGGGCAGATCAGTGTGCGTGCGTGTGCACGTGTGCGTGGGGGGCGGTTTGTGTTACCTTTCTCCATGAACTCTGTGATGATGTAGATGGGCTCCTCCTTGGTCACCACCGCGTTCAGCTTCACCAGCTTGTCGTGCTGCAGGCTCTTCATCAGGTTGGCCTCGGCCAGGAAAGCGTCCACCGACATGCTGCCCGGCTTCATGGTCTTCACGGCGACTTTGGTGTGTTTGTTGTAGGTGGCTGGCAGAGAGGGCACACGAGGGCGCGTCCAGGTTGGTCCCAGCCCGCACGGGGCTGCAGACATCGCCATGGCACAGGGCTTCCTCCGGGGGCGCCGGGTGTCATAGGCAGGGGGAGGGATTGCCTTCCCAAACCACCAGCCTGGCCCCGCCCACACAACGCCTGGCCCCGCCCACATAACACCTACTGTAGCCCCAGG